TAGAAAATAAGAAATGCTGGGAAGGACATGGAGAGATTAGAACGCTCATACATTGCTGGTGGGACTGTAGAATTGTACAATCACTATGGAAATCAGTATGGCGCTTCGGTAAACAGATGCAAATACAAATAACCTATGATCCTGCAATTTCTCTAATTGGTTTATATCCTAAAGAAGTCAAGAACAAAAGATGAACAGACAAACGCACGCTTATGTTGATTGCAGCAATTCTAGTATAGCAAAAAGCTGGAAGCAATCAAAAACTCTGACTATAGAAAGATGGATAAACAAACTCCAGCATCTTCATATCACGGGTTGTTGTTGTTTGATGCCGTCGGGTCGGTTCTGACCTATAATGACCTTATGCACCGCAGAACAGAGCACTGCCTGGTCCTGCGCCGTGGCTCACGGCTGTTCTTATGCTTGAGCCCATTGTTGCAGCCACAGTATCAATCCATCGCCTTGAAGGTCTTCCTCATTTTTGCTGCCCATCTACGTGACCAAACATGATGTCTTCCCGAGGAACCGGTCTCTCAACAACAGGTCCAAAGTATCTAAGACAAAATCTCACCATCCTTGCCTCTCAGGAGCATTCTGGCCATAATTCTTCCACGAGAGATCAGTTTGTCCTTTCAGCAGTCCATGGTACCTCCAATGTTCTATGCATCATTCAAAAACAATGATGAGTCTACATGGACAAAATCAGAGAACACTATGCTTAGCAAAGTTAGTCAATTTTATAAGGACAAATATTTTATGACACCATTATTATAAAGGAAAATAAATAAAAAGAAAAATGGTTTTCACACGAAAGGGTAAGACTTTAAAGACTGGGAGTAGGCCAGGGGTGTGAGGGAGGTGGGGCAGGGAGAAGGAAGGGACAGCAAACTATAGAGCAGGGGTCCTCTAACTTTTTAAGCAGGGAGCCAGTTCACTGTCCCTCAGACCCCTTGGAGGGCCGGATTATAGTTTAAAAAAAAAACTATGAAAATAGAAATATATATAAGCATAAAAAACTAAATAAATTAAGTCAAAATGTTTAAGAGAGAGAGAGAGAAGGGTCACAGCCTTAAAAAACCCCAGATTCCTTACTCGTTGTCTGAGTGGCTATAAAAAAAAGGAACAATAAAACTGAACCGGACTTGGATTCTTTAGCAACATACAAATTCATTTCAGACAAACAAATGAACAAACAAAAAAATGCCTATGGAGAAAACAAAAATCAAGTTGATGCCGATGCATAGTGACCCCTAGGACAAGGTAGCACTGTCCCTGTGGTTTCTGAGCCTGTCACTCTTTATGGACTGGAAATAGACACGCCGTGGTGGTGTAGTGGTTAAACTTGGGGTTTCGATCCGCATGGTCTGCAGTTTGAAACCATCAGCAGCCCTGTGGAATAAAGAGTGGGCTTTCTACTCCTGTGAGCAGTTCCCAGTTTGGAAACCCCCAGGGGTTCACTGAGTCAGCATTGGCTCGTTGGCAGTGAGTTTGGTTTTTTGGGTTTGGGTTTTGGTTCTGCCTCGGTGTGGCTGGTGGTTCCTACTGCTGACCTTGCAGATCACAGTCCAATATGTTACCGACGCCACCAGGGCTTCATGCCTAAGGAGAACTGAGGCAAAAATGAGCGTGTGATAAAAGTGAAGCCAGGCAGATGACTGTATGCACATGTGAATACTTTACACCGGGTGACATGTTCTAACATGCAGGCTCTGGCCAATATTGGCTCTACCAAAACAGACCTGAGTGGTTGGGAATGTTGAAGGGACCTGGGAACTCACTTTTGCTGTAAACGCTGTGTCTGATCTCCACGCCTATAACTTTCGGGGGATATGGCAGGGATGATAGTCCAGTCAGAAAGCTGCATGGGGTGGGCCATCAAAGGAGCCTGCAGCCTAAGACTAACGGATGCCTAAGGCCAAAACCTGAGAAGCTGAACTCACAGTCAAGTACAAGAACTAAGTCAAAGACTAGAGATAAGAGAGGAAAGGTTAGAAGGACAATACATCAGGGCCAGCATGGAAAGCAAATGGGGAAAAAAGTGCCAATTGATAAGGGAAAAATAAAGGCAACCCAACACGGATGATAATCCATTTTGAACAAAGGGACCAAGACAATTCAGTGAGGAAAGTGAGCAGTGAGCAATTGGTGCTGGGACCACATGCAAAACCAGACTCACTGCCACTGAGCCACAGAGAACCCCTGGGGGGTTCAGAGGCTGTAACTGTTTAGGGGAGTAGAGAGCCCAGTCTTCGTCCCACAGAGCTGCTGGAGGTTTCAAACTGCCGAGCAAGAGGCTCACAGCTCAATGTGTAACCACTACCCCACAAGGGCTCCTTATTGCACCTCTACAGAAGACTAGAACTGCCCCATTGGGTTTCCCAGGCTCTCAATCTTTACAGAAGTCGACGGACACATCTTTCGCCTTGAGGAGGGGCTAAGGGGTTTGAAATGTCAATTTTCTTTGTTTAACTACTGTGCCACCAGGGATCTTGTCACATACTTGTTGCTAGGTGCCGGCTGTCCTCACAATCACAGTCAGGTTCAAGCCCATCATTTCAGCCACCGTGTTAATCCATCTTTTAGAGGGTCTTCCTCATTTTTGTTACCCCTCTACTTTACCAATCATAGTATTCTTTTCCAGGGACTGGTCTCTCCAGAAAACATGTCCAAAGTACATGAGACAAAATCTTGTCATCCTTGATCTAAGGAGCATCTGGCCATAGTTTCTCCAAGATAGATGTGTTTGCTCTTTTGGCCATCCATGGCGCTTTCAATATTCTTTGTCAGTCAGATACTTCAAATCCCTGCCATCTAGTCAATTCCCACTCTTAGCAACTCTGTGGTTAGGGTAGAACTGCCCCTATGGGTTTCCAAAACTGTACCTCTATGGGAGTAGAAAGCCTCATTTTTCTCATTTGGGGAAGCTGGTGATTTCAAACTGCTGACCTTGCTGGTAGCAGCCCAATATGTAACCACTATGCCACCAAGACTCACTTGTCACATACTTAGTGCCTGAAAATCATACAGATGGACAATCTAAGAGTGGAAAGTATCACATTTACTTTGCTAGACTAGAATCAAGGTGTCAGCAGAGTTGTGTTCCTTGAGTATCCTTCCTTCCTTTTTCAAGCTCCTGGAGGCCACCTGCGTTCCTTGGCTCATGGCCTTGCCCTCCATCTTCAAGATTAGCAATATAGCATCTTCAAGCCTCAATCTTTGCCTCCCTCTCTGTGCGCTCCCACCCACCCCACTTGCTCCTTTGAACACATCTCCTCTGACTCTAGCCTTCCTGCTTCCCTTACGACACCACTTGGCCCACCAACAACCCAGCATCACTTCCCCGTCACAGACTCTTCAATACAATTGAAAGTCCCCTTTGCCACCTAAAGGGGGATAGGCGCAGGTATCAGGGGCAAGGACAAGGTCATCATTGGGAGGTCACTAGTCTGCTTATGCCTGTTGTCAGATAAGCAGCTACCTGGAACCAAACTGTGGATGAGTAAGAAGTGTAGAAAAAATATTCTATACACACACACACACACACACACAAACATACACACAAGAAATGATAAAAAGAAAACCCACAATTTCTAAAATGTGGAAACGTTTTCATGTTGGGGGGTTATTCCCGCAAAGGAAAGAATCACTTCAGAGGACTCTTAAACACAATGCTTTTATTATGCATCCCTGGTGGATGGTATTGTAAGGACAAAAAGAATTGTCATGATGGGAAAACATTCCTCACTGCAACTTTCCTGGACTTTTTCTTACCAGTGGAGTTGCCAATTGTCTTGAACCGTCCGCATAATGAATCCTTTGATCATCTTGTGTCCTTCTAGAAAAATCTATCAAGTTGACTCCCTTTGGATTCCAAAAAACAGTCGTCACAACCTTCGGAGGTGACCTCTCTACTTTGAATTTAACGAGTCCAACAGGTCCTGTTGGAAACTACTGCTGGGCTGGACCTTTCTGTGAACGGACACTAATCAGACTAAGACAAGGGGGTGACTGAGAGAACGTGGCTGCCGCCGTCCACTGATCACAGAAATATGCTCAAATACATTTGTTTGCCATAAATCTGTGCATGTACTCACTGTAACCCTACCAGCAATATTTTTTGACTTACTCTTCAGTACCTAGGAGTTGAATGGAATTACTGGGGGGGGTGTCGTGGATACTCCGTTGGGCTGCGATCGCATGGTCAGAATTCAAAACCACCAGCAGCTCCTCAGGAGAAAGACTGGGATTTCTGTTCCCTTAAACAGTGACAGTCTCAGAAACCCGGTAAAATGGCAGAGGGTGAGCAAGAAATGGAAAACCTTCACCGAGATGGATTGGCACAGGGGAGGCGACAATGGACCCAACCTGCCTGCGATGGAGAGGACGGTGCAGGAAGGGGCAGCGTGTCATTCGGCTACACCTGAGGTCATTCTGAGTTGGAATCAGCTCGATGGCATGTAACAACAATGCGGAACTTCTGGAACTTGTTGAAGAATTGCCAAGTCATTTCCCACAGTGATTGCCTGATTTTCCAATCTCATCAGCAAAGCACATGGGTTCCAATTTTGGGACATCCTCCCAAACACTGGTTATTTTTCTTTTTTCAAATCTTAGTGGATCTGAAGTGACATCTCATTGTGGTTTGTGTGGCTCCCCACCCCCCAATGTTTTATTGATATAAAATTCACATATCATACACTTCTATAACTAAGTTGCGTTTAAAAAAGAGTGGTATATACATCATCACAATAGATTCTAGTGCACTGTCCCCCTCCCATGTTCATTATTTGTTCCCCAACTCCCCTCAATCTCCTTCCTTGCCATATTCCTGATGAGCTAAACATCTGCCCCTTATGTGCTTCATAAACTGGGAAACATATCACAAACAAAACCAAAACAAAACGGGGGGAAAAAGGAAGAAAAACCATCGGAAATATTAAAATAAGCCAGAAAGTAAACTTCTGTCGAGGAACAAACGAGAAATGTGTAAACCTAGAGCAAATTCAGAATGACTCAAGCGGAAGGTCAACGGACCAGATATCATAGTACACCAAAGTTCCATCCACCATAATCAAGTTTACAATCATCTCTATCTGATAGTAAGGCTGTTTGCATCCCTTGATTGTGGCCAGAGGGGATCTGCCAGAAGTTGAATCCAAATGGGCACTCTAGCGAAGGGTTTTGGAACATTGCGGCTTTGACGTATATCTCCCTGATGACTAGTGAGTGCTTAAGCACCTTTTGTGGCTCATTGGCAGCTGTATGTCGTTGGAGGGAGGTCTCCTCGAGTCCTTCGCCCATTTTCCAAAGCTTTGTCTGTCTTTTTGTTGTGGAGCTTTTTGTTGAAGTTCTTGGTAGGTTTCAGATAGGAAGCCCTTGTCGACTGTACGTGTGTTTTACATTCGCTTTTTTCCATTCTGTCTCTTCTCTTGGTATTGACTTTGGCGGCACACACTTTTTGATGAAGTTCAGTGGAAGCATGGTTGGCCTTCTGTCCTGTGCTTTTGGTGAGGCTTGGTTCATTGTTGGCCCCACAAACGCGCATCATCTCTCAGTGGTGAGAGCCCAGCTGTAGAGAGTGCCTATCCCCAATGTCTTAGAAGGGACTTCCCTTCTGAAGCACTGCCTCGCCTGCAAAGAGGTGGGAGGATGGGGTCTATGCGGGTTGCTGTTTTTCACACCTTGTTTATGCACCTGTTCTCTGTGTTCTTCCTCCTGAACTTGCAGCCCACATGGCCACGTCTGTGGGGGGACTCCTCTTCTTCTTCACCTACCTCCCGTACCTCTACATCAGTTTCAGCTACACCGAGAGGACTCACCTACAAAAGATCACTTCTTGTCTCTTCTCAAACGTCGCCATGGCCCTGGGGATCCGATTCATAGCCTTCTCAGAGGCAAAAGGTAAGCATTCGCTTTCCCTGGGCTCTCTGAGCCGCATTGATGCTTCCTCAGGGCTAACAGGCCAGCTGGCCTTCAATTTAAAAGAACGACTGTCCCTCCCCCCTCAGAAACAATTCCCCCGAGATCAACTTTAAGCCTAAACTCTCAAACATTGCTGGGAGCTTCCTACAAACCAAACAGTGGATTGGCCTAACTAGTACAAAACACCTGCCTGGAGCACTGTGTTCTCTTCAGACATCTATGCAGACGGGATCAACTTGACCAGGGCAGCTTGAAAAAGGTTTGATAGGAAACTCAGCCCTCAACTCGATGGCAGTGAGGTTGGTTTGGTAAATGCTGAGGAGACATGGTGGCTGAAGCACCTGTTTGTAATCCTTGGTCCCAGCTCCCCTCCTTTGGGAGAGCAGGAAGAGAGCCGACTCACAGGCCAAGTAGGAAGTTTTGCCCTAAAACTGAAGGAAGAATAAACCAAACACGGAAGGGCTGTTGTTCCATTGCAGCTGGCAAAACTGCTGCCCCCTTTTGGCAATACTGAGAATGTTCCCTCACCTGGAGGAAATTTCCATTCCCACCTTTTCCTTTCCTGTGCGCACCGTTTGTCCCGAACCTTGCGGACACAAGAAGCCTGTCGGCCTTGGTCTGGTTCGCGGCTGCTTGGTTGGGAAGTTCAGGTACTGAGAGTCTCCCCTGTCCTGGCTGTGACCGGCTTTGTGACTCTTCCTTCCGTCTCACAGGCGAAGGGCTACAATGGAGCAACATCGGCAGTGTGCGTGGAGACTTCAGCTTCGCTCAAGTGCTGCTCATGCTCCTGTTTGACGCTTTCTTCTATGGCTTGGTGGCCTGGTACCTGGAGTCCATCCTACCAGGGGCTTATGGTACACCCAAGCCCTGGTACTTCGTCGTCAAGGTGAGCCCTGACCCTGATGCTACCGGGTTTCAGACTAGGGTCCTAGAACGCATCCTGACTGTTGGCAGTACTCTTGCCCCCCTTAGTGGTAGAGTCTGGATCGAAATCTCAAGCTCCAGGAAAGCTCTAACCTGATTCCCCATAACCCATTGTCCACGGTCACTAGAGCGGCTCAAGGTCTAACCCACAGAATGTATAGGAAAGACCGCTTCTCATCCTCGGTCGGGTCATTATGAAAGAGTGCAATTCTCAAGCAGACATGTTCTACTAGGTAAGGTAGACAACTGCTCAGAAAACAAACCCTCACAAATGGACCAATGGATAGCATCATGACAAATGGAGAAAAGATCGAAGTTGTCAAGAATTATTATCTTGTTTGGATCCACAATCGACGCTCATGGAAACAGCACACAAGCATTCAAACTATAAATCGCATTGGGTAAGTCTGCTGCACAAGACCTCTCTAAAGTAACAAAGAGCCAGGATGTCACTTGGAGAACTGCGGTGCATCTGACATAAGCCATGGCATTTTCTGTTGCCTTCTCTGCATGTGGAAGTTGGACCCTGAATCAAGAAAACCGAAGGCAAAGGGATGCATTTGAATGATGCTGCTGGAGAAGCGTGCTGTCAATACTAACAAATCTGTCTCAGAAGAAATGGGGCTAGAGAGCTCCTGCGCAGCACGTTTAGTGAGACTTTGTCTCACGTATTTTGGATGTGTGACCAGGAGAGACCAGTCCCTGGAGAAGGACATCATGCTTGGTAAAGTAGAGGGGCAGCAGATAAAAAGAAGATCCTCACAAGGTGGACTGACGCGGTGACTGCAATAACGGCCTCAAACGTGCAATAATTGCAAGGATGACGCAAAACCAGGCAGGGTTTCATTCTGTGGGATCCGACTTGCTAGCCCCCGAGCACCACCACCACCACCTTGCTCAGTTTCAAGAAGACTGTAGGGAGATATTTTTGGTTTCTGATTTAAAGATGATCTCGGGGCAATAGTTTCGGGGTTTCATCCAGACTCGGTGGCCCCAGAAAGTCCGGTGTCCTTGGGAAAAGGGGAATTTAATGAACCAAAACAGAGACTGTTTACATAAATGTATTAATGCATCTGCTGACTTCCTCTTCAGCCTTTCTACTGGCACAGAAGATCCATACCTGTGACGATCTCCACACCACAGCTCGACCACCCCAAATCTCCGGAGAGCAAGTTTATTCAAGAAGAGCCTGTGGGTTTGACGAAAGGCATTGAAATCCTGCATCTGTACAAGGTACTCACACCCAGACCACCGGCTGGGAACTTCACCAACAGCCCAGGCCTCTCTTGAGGCTGACCGTGCGGCACCGCACAGTACATCTTGTGACAGGGAATTTTCATTTCCCTTGGTGGAGTTAGAGAGTAAATGCCTGAAAATGCCTCATCTCCTGTCCGACAGTGACACGACTGGATGGAGGATCCATTCTAGGAAGGGCCCCTCCCAGTGCCACCCTCACCCCTGGGATACAGGAGCGGCTGACAGCTGACTTTGTTCAGTACCTTATCTGTTCCACCCCCCACCCCTGCCCGCCCTGCATTTGAATTGATTCCAACCAGTTTGGTCACAACCAAGGAATCAAAAATAGAATCCACCCTCCTTCCTTCTACTCCCCCTCCCTTTCCTCCACCGTCTGTCCATAGAAGCCCTTCTGTAGCTGTTCCCTCATTCTGCGTGTCCAGAGTTATGTCACTAGGGCCACCTCAACGCCAAGGGGCAGAGCAGTCAGGGAGCAGCCCTGTCGACCCGACTGACAACAGTCAGGATCAAATGGAAGCAGGGGCGCTTGCCAATTCGTTTCGGCAGTGCCCAGCCACCCCCACCACGAGATGGTTCCCGCCCCGCTGCAGTGCGGCGCCAGGTGTCCACTCCGACCTGGTGAGGAGGAGAAAGGCCGGGTCTCTGCGAGGCTCCCCCTGCTGCTCTGCTGTGGGATAAGACTAGGGAAAATGGGACTTGGAACACTAGACCATTTGGCCTAGAAAGCAGGCTGCTGTGTTTATGCCCTCCCTCGCCCAGGCTGCACCCGAGGGCAGAGCACAGCAGGGCTCCTGCCAGTGCTTCTAGCATGTAAGCCCTGTGCCAGGTCCTCGGGCCCCTCCAAGAAGCACTCCCTGGAGTCCTCCCATTCCCTTTCCTCAGACGCTCCAGACAGTCCCCCCACTACCTTATCCTCCACCACCCCCACCACCTGCCCAGCCTCCCACAGCAAGCAGGGAAGGAGTAGCATGGCGTGGCCAGCCCTGCCTGCAAGTGTGACAGTTGCCCTGCAGGTCCCACCCATCTCTCCACAGGTGTTTCAGACTGGGGGGAAGAAGACCACCGCGGTCAGGGACCTGACGCTGAATCTGTACCAGGGGCAGATCACGGTGCTCCTGGGACACAACGGTGCGGGGAAGAGCACCACCTGCTCTGTGCTCACAGGTGCGTCTGGCCAGCCAGCCCCTCAAGGAAGCCCACCCTCGGGGGTCTTGGTACTGTCTAGGAAGGAGCCCTGGTGACTCTGCCTGGAAGGTGTCAGACTACTAACCTCTAGGTGGGGGTTCAAACCCACCAGCCCTTCTGTGGGAGAAATATGAGGGGCAGCCCTGGAAACCCCACACAGGATCCTGGTGGCAGTCGGCAGTCTAAACCGTGGTGGTGCGGTGGGTTAAGCGCTGCCCTTTCACTGCCGGTTCCTCACAGCTCTACAGGACAGGGCAGAACACCTCTGGCTTTCAAAGACTGCAGCTCTTTACAGGAGTAGAAAGCCTCATCTTTCTCCTGCAGAGTGGCTGATGGTTTTGAACTGCTGACCTAGCGGTTAGCAGCCCAACTGGTAACCACTCCTCCGTCAGCACTCCTGAAAGTATTGCTCTGCTAACCAAAAGGTGGTGGTTTGAACTCACAAGCTGCTCCTCAGGAGAAAGATGAGGCTGTCCCTCAGTGGGACGAGGCTACCACTAAGATGGAAAGCCACAGACCCCTTTGCAGCAGCTCGGCTCTGTCCTAGAGGGTCACTTGGAATCAGGAAAGCACCTCGTTGGCACAATGGTTACGCAACTCACCGGCTAACTGACCAGTAAGTCCAGAGGAAACAAGGGCTGGCGACCATGCAGCCTGGAAAACCCTCTGGGGCTGCCCCACTCGGTCCTGCAGGGTCACCGGCACATACCACCACCAAATACATAGTGCTTGGCCCAGAGCTCGGAAAGCGACTTGTCCCCTGACCCCCACAGAGCCCCTACCTCCAGGGAGCCCCCAACCACCCTGCCTGCCTCTGAGCCACAGGTGCACGCTCCAGCCAGGACAGCAGAGGGCAGCAAAGAGGTGGAAACGGGCCCCAGGAACCCACTCCTGGCCTAGAAGGTGCATACTGGGGGGTGGCCTTACACACTTCTGGACCAGTGCACACTGGTGTCCCCCGGTTTGGTCCTCTTTCGGGCACAGGCCTGGTTGAGCTGGCAGTGATCGTGACCACCAATTAGGGAAGGCCTCCTGCTGAGGTCCTTGGCTCCTGCAGGATAGCCAGGCAGTCAAGGAGGCAGGTCTGGTCAGGTCCAGCACTACGCAGGGAGGCCAGTGGTCAGAACCCATAGGGCCTGCACTGCTCCTATCTGTGTGGGAGCTGGCAGGATTTGGGGCCAATGGCCACAAGGAGCCCTCCAGCCCTTCTGTCCTGTGCCCAGGTGGGTAGGAATTCTGGGACATGTCTTTGCTGGTTCCAGGCCTCCTCCCAGCTTCAAGTGGAGAGGTTTATATCAATGGCAACAAGATCTCTGAAGACATGGATCAAGTTCGGAAGAGCTTGGGCTGGTGCCCCCAGCATGACATCCTATTTGATGCCCTTACAGTGACAGAACACCTGTACTTCTATGCTCAGGTGAGTCAGTAGGGTAGAACTTGCTCCTCTGTGTCCACCACCAGGGCTTTCTGACAAGCCTCCTCAGAAAAGGGGCAGGGTATGGGAGTGGGCTTTAAGTCAAGACTTCTGATTAAAGTTTCTAAAATTATTATATTTTATGTGTTTATTATATAATTTAGGGAGCCCTGGTGACTCAGTGGCTTACACATTGGATGCTAACTGAAAAGTTGGTGGTTCTTTAGTTTTTTTTAAAAAATCGTTTTATTGGGGCTCATACGACTCTTATCACAATCCATATATACATCAATTGTGTGAAGCACATTTGTACATTCTTTTTTTTTAATCTTACAGCTTTTTTTTTTTCCACTGAAAGTAGGTGGACAAAGAATACAGTCCACAGCGGACAGTAGCATGGTCTCCTGATTGTTGTTTTTGTTAAATGACTGCTTGCTGTACATGGATCTAATTGTATTCAATCACTGTTCACGCAGGCACCAACATGAAACAGGGCTCTTCTGTTTCTTTGTCTCCTCCAATTGCTTTCCAGGCCTGCTTCCCCAACAGTGTGCATAGATTCCCTTCTGTAGGAGCCCTGAGAGTGGAATGGTTACGGGCTGGGCTGAGATCTGCAAGGCCCAGCAGTTCAAAAACCACCAGCAGCTCCGTGGGCAAAAGACAGGCCTTTCTCCTCCTGTAAAGAGTTACGGTCTTGGAAACTCACAGGGGAAGCGCTAGCCCATCTTAGAGAGTCACGAGGAGTCCTCATGGACTCGGTGGCAGTGAGTTTGGTTTGGTTACTCTGTGTCAGGTCACTTTTCTGCCTTACGATGGTCATGAGACAGCAACTGACGCTCAGAAGGATGCTACAGAAAGTAACATAAGAGGCTCTGGAAAGTCAGCCAGTGGTAGAAGGTCCACAATTAGCAGGATCAAAAACTTGGTTCTTCTTCCCACAGCAAAAACGTCCATGGTTCTAACCCAGCAACCACTCAGTACAAGAAAGATGTCTGCTTCCCTGAAGACGTACGGCTCTGGAAGCTCCCTGGGCCATCCTGCTGCTTCCAGCAGGGTCACTACTAGTCAGAGCTGACTCGAGGGTGGTGGCTCTCAATGTATACTTTATTTTAATGCCACATAAGTCACTGTTTTAACTATTCTAAAGTGTACAAGCCAGTGGCTTTCAGTGCACTCCAGCATTGTGCAGCCTCCCTCCTTGCCTAAACCCAGAGCATTCTCACTCCCCGAAAGAAGCCTAGTACTCAATAGGCAGTCACTCCGTGCTGCTCACTCCCTCTTTCCAGCCCCTTTCTGTGCTGGAGATTCCGGACAGGAGGACTCACACAACACAGAGCCTGTTCTGTCTGGTTTCCGGGCTCACCCATGCTGTAGCATGTGGCAGTACTTCCCTCCTTCTGGCGGCTGAGTAACATTGCACCGCCCGGACAGACCACAAGTCCTTTATTCTTCCAGCCGTGGATGGACGTTCAGGTTGACCCACTTTGGGGTCAGTGGGAATAATACTGCCATGAACCATCTGTGCATGTGTTTCACTCCTTCTGGGTGTGCTCCTAGGAGTGGAGCGGCTGGTCAGATAGCGAGTCTAGGTCTGATTTCATAAGGAGCTGCCCACCCGTGTCCCACAGCAGCCTTTTACATTCCTCCTCACCGCACATCCTCTCTGCATTTTTCACTTCCTCTCCTTCCTTCCTTTGACTTTCTGTCTTGTTTCATTTTTCTACTTTCCATTCCTCACCTTCATCTCCTTCCTGTCGCTCTCTCTTTTATTGTAAGCCATCCTGGCGGGGAGAAGTTGTCAGTCTTTCACCAGGAAGTGTGTGTGTCAGCTGTGTGGTGCTCATTGACAGGCCTGATCTATTGAAGGAGTCTCTTTTCTTTCTTTGTAAATCACTTTATTGGAGGCTCGTACAGCTCATATCACAATCCATCCATCCATTGTGTCAGGCACATGTGTACATTTGTTGCCATCATCATTCTCAAAACATTTGATTTCTACTTGAGCCCTTGGTATCAGCTCCTCATTTTTCCCCTCCCTCCCCGCCCCCCTCTCCCTCATGAACCCTTGATAATTTATAAATTATTATTTTGTCATATCTTACACTGTCCGATGACTCCCTTCACCCACTTTTCTGTTGTCCGTCCCCCAGGGAGGAGTTTGTATGTAGATCCTTGGAATGGGTTCCCCCTTTCCACCCCACCCTCCA